CCTCCACCAGAGGCTGTGGCAAAAAGAAGCAAGCAGATAAAAGAGAAGACGTCTGCATCTCAAACACTCATGTCTGCATACATACTAAGGAAACCCTCTGGCAGTTTGAACACCTCCACGTGCCAACAACTACGGTAGATGGAAGTCAGGGGTAGCAATTCTAGGGATCCCTCTGCAGCGGAGCTGCCTAAAACGAGATGTGGTATTTTTAGCTTACCCCAGACTGTCCCCTCCCCCTCACAGATAGTCGTAGCTGAACTGGGTCAGGCCATGTAAATGTGGAGGGTGCAAAGCGGAGATACCCCAGCCATTCTTGTGTAGCCTTGCTCGTGGCTAGAAGTGCTACTTCACCCTGCAGACCGGAACCTCTACATACATAGATAGCTCTTTGACACTGTCAGGCAGCTAGTTCATGAAAACGCACAGTCAGAGGCGTCATCAGCAACACTTTGTCCCCTCAGGCATCTTTTCATCATGTATGAAAAAATGTGATCCAAAAATTAAAGTAAATCTATATTTTTATATAGACTCACAGCTGTTAGCAATAAAAGTGTGTACTCATATATCAATTAAATTATACTTTATACATTTTCAAGTTAAATTACATCACTACACAAATTAATTTATTAACCTACCATAAAGATTATAAGTAATTTGAAAAACATAGTCATGTAACTACACATTTTATCACATAATTCATTAACGTCGGAAAAATTAAGAAACCCCAATGTGGGAAGAATACAGACATAAAAAATGTGAAGACCTTAAATTCATGCGATTCTAAAGAAGGGCAGAATTTGTAGTCAACAATAGTTAACTCTGATTTTGAAGCCAACAAAAATGCCCTAGAATTGACAGCACAGTGGAATTTAATAGGGGTGCACAGATAAATCGGCCATCCCATTTATCGGCAACGATTTCCTTAATTATGGGAAATCGGACGATACTTGCACGAGAAACAACTTTACCGATTTTTTAGTTTTAACAACAACTGTCTGAACTTCCTTTATATTTCAGAGCACTACCTCATGACCAGTTAAAAAAAGTTTGTATTGTTTCTAGATGAGAGTTCTGCGATGGAGTTAAACTCAAGGTTCAAAGGTATGTTTTTCAATAAAATAATATTGGAAAATTGAAGGTGCATTGTGACCTTATAACACCTGAGTGTGTCGCCTATCAAACGAAATCGGTACCGGCCAAAATCGGAATCGGCAGGTCAGACTTTTTAGAAATCGTGATCGGCCAGAAAACTGCAACTGGTGAACCCCTACAATTTAAGCATCCTCTAAATTATCAGATTGACATTAAAGAAAATATATCCAGGAAAGGATAGGTATGTAGAAATTTTTCTTAAACGTGCCATAATTCACTTACAAATGGCAAAATACAGTTGGTCAGCCATTTATTGTGCATTAAACAAATTTGAAAGACATTCAATTCTTAAGCTACTTTCAAAAAAACTAGAATATTCCAAACATTTCACCTTATCCTGAACTATTTTAAAGATGAAAAGCTGTTTGATACAAGATATCAGCTTAGCAACTTGAGGGTCACAGGCTCGGTCATTTTCTTCACCACAGTCTGAGCTCATTATCCTAATAATATTAGCATCTACATAGAATTTTGTTGGTGTGAATAGTGAAATATTTCTAACAACTTAAATTTAAAAATCTAGCTTGCTTTAAATTTCCAAATACTGAGACATAACATTTTATGCATCTGCTCTATAGATAAAATAACTGTACATTCATGCCAGCTACAACTCTGCTCATGTGAAAAAAATCTAATAATCATCTACACTCTGTTACTGAAGCTTCAAAATATGCAAATAATCTACTGCAGTGATAAGTGCTGCCAGCTTCACCTGACAGTCTAAGCGAAATATGTTTAAGACACTTTTAAATGTTTATTGAAATTGTACCATTGAGAATTACAAAAGAAGCTTGTACTGTAGTACAGGATTAAAGCCAGTTACAGTTTCAGGAAAACGTTTCAAAATAACGAGTGCTTTCTGTAACTGTCATAACACATCCTGCACCGCACTGATGGAGCAAAGTTTGAACCGTTTGACTAAACTGGTACAAATAAAGACAGTTTAAATGTGCAAAAAAGTATGCAATTATCTGTGTGACACAGGTGATACTGCCATGTCATCTCATGCTTATTGCAGGGAAAGCGTTGCCATGTGGAAGTACGGTCAATTTAAGTTTATATATTTTTTTTAGAATCAAAAACTCCTACACACCTTTTAAAATGCAACAAACTGTTGTTAAAAAAAGTTTAACTTTCAGGAATTCTGCATTTTTAGGCACAGTTTTGTTTTGGTACCACTTTCAGAATGCAAAATTGTGATTAGTCTGGACTTTTTTGTTATTACTGCAGCTCATTCATCTCTGCAACTATGATGCTGAAGCCAATTCATTGAAAGCGTACCTGCCCAGTACACATTCTTAAGCCAGATTTGAAGGAATGGGAGGTAACTGTGACTTCAATGCCACATTAACCTAATACAACTGCTTTGAATAACCTTGGCTGTACAGACTACACACAGAAGCCAGATAAGCAAAACTCCATCGTGAAAACATGAACTCGTAAATACATTGTACGTCATGGTACAACAACAGACTATGTTTAGCTTTCAAAGTTGGTTTACATACAGGTCAATGTCACCTTAGACCTACACTGACCAGATTTTTTAATTATTTCTTAACAGCCAGCATAAACGTCTGAAGAGTTGTTTGAGGAGTACTGTACTAGTTTTCACGACTGTTGATGGCATGTTACTCCAAAGCAGTGTGCGTCATAATGTGAATTTGTCAGGTCTCTCCTAAACTCATCATGACTGTTCTGTCTTCAGCTGCCCAATAAAGAGACAACTGTTAGGATGAAGAGAAGTAGAAGTAAACTATACGCACAAAATTATTGTGGTGCTGTGACTGCTCAACACTTCTGTTCCTTGAGAAGTATTCGGCAAATAAGCTTTTAAATTAGCAGGAATTAAAGTCCGAGCAAATGACTGGTACACAAATGTATGATGGAAAAAAAAAAAAAAATAGATGAAAAAAATGGCACTGGTCTTGCCGCTGTAATAACAGCTAGAGAATAATGTCATATGCAACAACGGCTGACTTCTTAGACAGGTTAAGCACTGTTGGTCATTGTGAGCCATAAAAAAATGGTGTAGCAAGGAATGAGAAAGGATATTTTTGTTATTCTTGAGTGACAGCAACAGTAAGTTCAAAGGGCTCAAATGCAAGAACAAGCTGTGTCAAAGATACTTTGGGTGAATCATTATACATGCATTGAATTTCTAGATGCTGAGATGGCTAAAATGAAATATCACTCTCAGAGATATTTTTACAATGTGATAAAATCCGGTTTGAACATTCCCATTTTAAAAGGCACACTGAATCGCTATTGTTTCATAAGAGATCACCATTGATCATATGCTCTGCTGCAAGACATTCTTTCTAGAATATCTGAATTGGCTTAGCTGTCATAAGATTATGTAACAAGTCCACAGATAACTACTGCAAGCCAAGATGACCAGCACACCTTGTATCATTAAATCACAGTCCATTCCTTCCAGGCATGCAATAATTTCCACATTAAAATGCAGTTTGAGAAAACTGCAGTAGTCATTACAGTCCTCTCACTGTCGGATCACAAATCACTACAGAAAACACAAGACGACACCATGGGTGCCGCAGCAAGCCGGGTCCCTTTTAATTGGATAAGAAGTGATCCCTTCAACTAAACACCAAAAGGTGCACAGAGGCTGCACTCCACATCAGTCTGAATAGCTGCAATGTTTTTGAGTGCATGATATTACAGTCAGCGCCCACATTGTGATTAAGCGTGTAGGGCAAACAGACGTGGTCATCTTAAAGAGCCTGCAATGACTAGAGAATGGTTGTATTGGGACACACACTTGCTTCAAAGCCTCGTTGCTGTTCTTGCCATTCAACATAAAATAAACGTATGTGTAACAGTACAGGACCTTCATGGGAAGGTGTTCTTTAATCATAAGGTTTGGTATTGATAAGATGACGTTTACAGCTAAATAAAGTGTTCAGAATCACGTTTGACACAGATCGTTGGGGAATTATGTAATTCACCGGTGTATGGCTGAGGCGTACACCGGTGAATTATACCCGCATAAGCAGGCGTCGCTGGTCGACAGAAGGCGTTAATTGTACATGAATGAAAACAAGTTCACTGCCTCTGCTGTGTAGTGACAGACACCAGAGAGGACGTTCAATAATGAGCCTTTACGGGTGCCTCTGTCAGTCTAGTCTGTACTCCTCGAGCTCTGTCATCGCGAGCAACCGCAGCGCGTGGACTCCCACTGTTTCCACTCCGTCAAACAGCATTTATCCGGACCGTTATGCTGTTTAATAAGACCGGTTATGCAGGTGATAATATAGCGTGGTAAACGAGAAGTCGTCATGCAAACATGGCATTATTTTAGATTTTATACAAGTAACTTTTAAATAGCGATATTAGCACACAATTTAAGTGAGAAGCATAATCTAAACGTCAAATTGCTGCCCAAGATAATATTAAAACCATCGTCTGTGGCTAGCGTGAACCGTTAGCCGACTAGCTCCCATGTCTTAGCTTATTGCGGGAATATACGAAAAAAAGACTGCTTCTAACTGAATGACAAGTCAAATAACTCAGTCCAGCGCAAAGCAGAAGTCTCGGCAAATTATCTACAAGCAAAGGGAATTTGACACCAACTCGGCAGATTAGCCACCAGCGTTGGAAAAATGAAACGCCCAATGTCAGTATCTAAGCAAGATATAACGTTAGCTAACAACGTTAGCTTCGTATAGAGCTACCCACCATTGGCTGGCCCTCGTTGATCACTGCACGCCAAAACGAGGATTTAACCGGTCGTGGGGTTTATATGCAACGTCCCAAACACCTGGAAGCAATCCTTATCTTGCCGCATTTTGTCGCGCTAGCAGAGAAATTACAACCCAAGAAATACTTACTCCGTTCTCTGGAGAGCAACCCCTGTCCCTTTCTGTCTTTAACTCCCCCTCAGTCTCACCGAAGACTAGACTCTCTCCGCCGAGCTGAGGTAAAGCCCCGCCCACTGCGCTGTCACAGCCACGACCAAATCCTCAGCCTGGACTCACCCTCAAGATAAATCACTCCCCACTTGGTGTTCATGGAAACTCCAGTTTAATGCATCGGAAATTCATGACGCATGCATTTTTTTTTTTTAATTGTTACTGTCACTGATCTGCGTTAGTACAATTAATAAGACGACTGGTGAGTCCTGCGTTCATCTTTACAAATATCTTCATCTCTGACCGGGAGATATACAAGATCACAAGCTTTTTTTTTTTTTTAATTATTATTATTCACATAAATTAATATTTCTTTTAAAGTAACTCATATCTTCGAGGATTCACCGTATTAAAATATAATTTAATGTTTAAATAACTTCTCTTGCTAAAAGAGAAATATCCTATTTTAATTCGCTGAATGTGTCGAAGGCGGAAGTGCATTGGCGTGAACGATCTTGTTGCGTTTAGTAATCTTCAGCCACAACACCGCCGGGGACATGTGATGCACGTCAAAAGGAGGATGGGTACGGGCCGCTGGTGTGGATTTCCATTGGCCAGGCCAGCATATCAGTCGCCTATGGAAACGGTTACGTCATGATCCCCTCGTATTCTCTGCTCGCTCCTGTGTCGCTTTATAATAAAAGGATTATTGAACAGTTTCCCCCCTCGATCATATGATGCAGTCAAATGCACGCACCGAAACATAACGTATCATTTCTGCTGTCAAATAGCTTGAACTCTACCTAAGCAACACAAGACTCTTCCCTCGGCGCCTCATCAAACCTGACGTCATTGTTTCCATGATGTAGTGCGTTTTTTCTCTCTCTCTTTCGCTCTGCTCCGGACTCAATGACTGCATTATTTGCGATTCTCCGGTGCTGTTGAGGAGTTGCACGCTTAAACACATCCATGAGCAGGTCAGTGCCGTGCAAAAACCAGTACTGAGTATAACAAATTGTAATTGCCAATCCATCAGTAGGTAACAGAAAATGCCCATGAGACACCAGTAATATGTGTCTCTTTTGCAATGAAATCAGACGTCTAATAATTGTATGAGTGGCAAAACTTCAGCTGCAAAATAAGTTAGTACTGGTACTTAATTCTGGATCCCAAAATAAACAGAAAAGCCACTATGAATTCAAACATAAAAAAATAAAATAAAATAAAAAACTTATTCTGAACTATATCAAAGGGTTTGAAATAGTTTACTTTAGCAGTTTTAATGTGCAATTTTGGAATGCAGGTACGCACTCAACGTAAACAAAGAGCTCTGTTGAATTTACTGACAACCACAAGGAAGCTTGAGTCACGTGACTGATCTGCATTAGGCTTGCTGTAGCTTTGTTGCTGTTGTCCATTGTTGTCATCTTTCTTTGTTGAAATCAGGTCTCTCTTGTAAATGAGTCCTCGAGGCTCAATGGGATTTACCTGTATAAATAAAGATTGATTGATTGTAGTCTGGGTAGGTAAACAAATATGGCGGAATCAAAAAAGTGTAGAATCTAGAGATGTTTAGGTGTAAATAAAAGCAAATGTCCTGTTAAACACACACACACACACACACACACACACACACACACACACACACACACACACACACACACACACACACACACACACACACTAACAGAGAAAGGTGTAAAACAGCTGTTAACAATAAATATTGTGGCTCAAGAAGGGCAGCAGCACAAACTAAAACAGAGCTCATCATTTGTTGCAAACTTTTTAGACTTTCTTTGGGTAAACAAACACTAACGGGAGCTTAGCATCCTGTCACAAATTTTGCTTATTTAAGGTTATATTAACCATCAATATGAGAAAAAAAAAAGATTTTGTTTTATGATTATTTTTTTTTTGTTAGCAGTTTTAAAGTCAGCCCCCAGTGTACACTTGCCTTTTGGACATAATGGCATTTCTCCTGAACTTAATAGCCTTGTGTGTACAACCACGTGCACCTTCTCAGATTTGTCAACATGTCACTTAAACAGTGGAAAATGTCATTTCAGGATTTCCAAGTCAGAAAAATGTCATGGATGGAAAAATTTTAGACAGAAAGCAGAAGAGAAGAGAAGTATATTTAAAAAAACAGCTTTTGTCAAGGGATCTTGTGCAATCATTTGACCCTACGTGTTTGTGATTTGACTTTGGTTTAGAAATGCAGAACTAGGAATAACCATTTAGCAAGCATTAAAAAAAGTCTGTGAGATTTAAACGAGTATTAGCCAACTGGGAAATGTTGCAAAAAACACTTCAACTTCAACTCTGTTATTCTTTGCACAACCAACAGTAATACACATCTTTCGTCTAGTAGATGGGACTTTGCTCTTTGAGTCACCAAAGTTGAAGCATTATAGAGGCGAAACAAAATTTTATTTGAATGTCAGCCATTTTTATCAGTGCACCATCTGTGGTTGTTGTGATTTCCTGACTTCTAGGTTGCTCATATGTATTGATCAAACGTTAACACTGGTGACGCCCAATTTGCTCTTTTTGCCTATCAGTGAATCAGTAACTGCATCAAGCCTCCCTTTTGTCTCTACTTTAAATGTTACAGAGGACATTTAAGTAACTGATAGCAGGAAACTAAAAATAAAATATTGATCAGTCATATTGTTGCTGATTGTAACTGGAGAAAATTTTATTGACCCAAAAGAGTCTTGTTCAGTTCAACAGAAAGATAATCCATTTACGGATCACAAAGTAACTAAACAATCTTGTAATCTTAAAACTCAGCTACCAGCTCTCTCTTGGTTTCAGTACTTGTGCAATTTACCATAATAGGCTGCTGTCAACAATGAGCCGGATCTTCTAATTTCACACTTCAACAACAAGTCAACAAGTACATAAATTATGTAATTTACAAATAAACACATCCAAAGAAAGCAATAATTTCACTGCAAGTCTTTAGGAGGTTGCAATTTCAGTGCAAACAGGTTCCAAAAGTAGGACATGTCAGTCTTGCACAACATTCTTGTTTTATCTCAGGGTAATTCTTTTCTTTTTTTAAAACAAAGCAAATCATTTGAAATGCTGACTTTTGTCACTGGTGCCTGTTTGTTCAGTTAAGACTACTAAATCGCAATCCTTTTAAACACTTCAGGACCGCAGAAGAAACAAATAGTAAAGCAGACATGTTTCAGTTAGGACACCAAATAAATCAAACAGGTTCCAAACAGTGGACTGTGAGTAATTTTATTTTGGGGGAAAAAAAACAAGAACAATCATCTACCTTGATCAGGAGAGCAGAAATGTCCTAAAAATAATTTCAAATAATCTTTTATTTATGCTTGACTATTATAACGAGCAAATATTGAAACAAACAAAAAGCCATTTTGTATTTAAATTGGTTGAGACCAATCATTTCACCCACATCTGCTGTCTGAATATTGCTGTTGATTCAGTTTCTCTGTGGAAATTTGCCAGATTCTCTGGAGCATCTTGTGAACTACAGTAAATGTCAAGTGTCATTAGCCCTTGTGCATGCTAATGTTTTGTTCATGCAAGTCTGAGTAAGCAATAATGATGAGGCGTGCCAAAACTCTCCAAAAACAAGATGCTGCCTTCAGGCTAACTTACAAATTAAATCAAAACTGAAACACTTTTTTTTTAAATTATTTGGTAATAGAAAACACATGGTTTCCACAGATAGTACAGGAGAAGAAAAAAGTTGAGCAAATTGTTTGAACAAACAATAAGGCTGTTGCAGTGTGTGCATGTGTGTGATTGTGTGTGTTTGTTCCCAACATAGACCTTTAATTGTGGGGATAGAGCTCTACACACCATGAGACGAGATAGCTTGACAAATAATTGCAGGTTCAGCTGAAAAGTGACTATCAACTGACACGGCTTGAATGCGTCTGCTATTCTAACTGAAGGACTTTGCTGCAGAGTTTTGCATTTTTAGGAACCCCTCTGCTGCAAAGTGATTAAAACATTTGAACGATGTACTGTACATTGAAATGTGAAATGGAGGGGGGAAAAAGCTATCACTGTTTTTTAAATGCCAAAAGTGCACTTGGAGATCATGCGCTTCTTGAGCTGAGGCGAGTGGAAAATGTGAGCATGAAGAAGTCTCATTATTTGGCTTACACAACCAGGTCCTTATCAGTGAAGACATGCTGTATGAACAGTTTTCCTTTGGTTAACCAATCTTTCGACAAGCTACTTTGTTTCTTGACCGGACGTTGGACTTTCCACTGGCTCAGCACATTGACAAAAGACTGGTCATTAAAGAGAGATCGGGGGAGAGGGTACATTTCCTCTTTTTGAGGACAAGCAAAAAATAGTGTTGCATATTTTCAAAAAAGCCTATTGATTGAGCTTGCTCTTTAAGCTTTTTTTCCATGTTACAGTTAAATCAAAAGTCCAATTCTTCCTTGTGTGTTTTCAGTTTATGTGACAAGATCTTATCTTGTCAAGTTTGGTTTTAAAGAACTTCATTGTTGTTCAGACCCAATATTCAACAGGACAGCGGCTACATCAACCAGACAAAGTCTTGACCATTTTAATAACAAACCATCATTTTCCAACGTGTCATTAGTCTGACACAATAACTGTAATCAAATTTTCCTTCCATCCAAACTGTTGTCTAGTCTAGTGAAGAATACCCCAATTACATAATGAACATGTACATCATGCTGACTGGCAAACAACCATAAACACAGGCACAGGAATAATACCTATGATGCAGGTAAGATCTTAAGAGAGACCCACTGAATCAGCTTCACAAAGACTCCTTGTGTGAATGAAAGCTGAGAAAGTGGTGGAGGTTGCAGGAGTGGTAGAGATAGGGTGGGGTCTGTCATGATTGAGCGGCTCCCCCTTGGTTTGTGCATGTTTGTGTTTCCTACTTGCCCTGGAATTTACTGCATGGCACTGGCAAGGACCGTCACAGAGAGGTGAACGATCTGCAGGATAAAGGCCAGAGTTGTTGGGAAAGGAGTGGAAAAGAGAAACTGAGACAGGGAGGAGAAGCAGGAAGAGGAAAAAAATGGAAA